TAATATAACATATTACACAAATATCATATTTTGTATAAATAAATATTTGTTTATAATTTAAATGATAATCAGTTATCCCACTTTCAATATTATGATTATGAGTTTCTTTTATCAGATCCCAACAAAACATGATCTATTACGTTTTAGATATCCAGATCTAGGTAATGGTATGGGATTAAAAGTGGGAGATATCTATGCAATAGGAGAGATAATCGATGAGGTCGACTCAGTAACAGGATTATATGTTTTACGTGCACAGGTAACGAATAAAACATACGGGATCACAACATGGGTCAAGTTTACAAACTTCAAGGTGTTTTTTGATGTTCTCATATCACCCAATCACCCAAATCCCAAAGAGTATTATAATATTTTAATCAAAACAATGGAATACACAAATGCTAAACATCCTAATGGCGCATGGGTAAGGATGACCAGTTTAATAAAGGATTACCCGATAGTTAAACGTAATGATGGTAAAGAGTATTTACGAATTAGATTCACAGATCATAGTAAGTAAAGATCTGTTATCCAAGCTATTCACCGGAATAAATTCAAATCATATACGATTTGTGAAGACTCACTTAGTGGTAAATATAGACAATTTATCACTCGTAGTCGAATATACACGAATGGGAAAGAAGACTATTTCCATGTTTCAGGTTTCTTTATACTTAAGGATGAAACGTGTGTACTCTCAATGGATGAATATGAGAACTGCCTTAAATATGACAAAGATGTTATATTTTTAGATGATGAATTTTTTTGCAATGAGATAGTACATGCATTTGATCTGAAAACAATGTTTTTACAAAACTTCAATCATGAAATTAAAAAAAAAAGATATGGTTGGACATGGTAGTACCCCATTTGACCGTGCATACATGAACGTTAGTGTTTTTACACAGGGTAATGATCCTGTGCCACTGGGAGTGATTTGCCTGCTCGATACCGGAACTGATACACCACTTCGATATGAATCGGAAGAGAAAATCAAGGAAAGAATATGGAAGAT